TTTGTGGTTATCCCATCAGTGGATAGACTGGAAATAAAAGTAATTAAAGTGATATGATATTTAGAAGTAGATTTTTTTTTACGCAAAAGTGCATTTTCAGTATGATAAAAATGCCCTTCCTCTTGAGGCTTTTTGGCCTTTGTCAAATCAGGTCTAGACTGCTGTAGCATATCTACACCCAAATACATTTTGAACTTGGAAGAAAAATTTGAACCTATGAATTACACTGATTTTACCTGGAACAAAGTTATTTATCTGAAGTGAAGAGATACAGAATAAAATGTTCTTGAGATACAGAAAATTTTTTCAGTCTTTTGATTCATCATCTCAAGGTTAGCCATGGCAGATGCTGACACTGCTTCTTTTCCTGCTCCATGTACACAACCAGCTCACATAGTTTTCTGAGGAAAGATTCTCTCCTTAACTAATGACTTCTCTCTTATTAATGTGATTTTTCAATACCAGCTAAGGTAATGGATCCTACTCTTTAAGTTTTTCCTAAACTCAAACTGACATTTTCTTTTAATAAATTTATTGTCATCAATTGTTGCTGTAATTGTCTTATTCTTCTGTAAGGTTTTTCTTTGTTTTATATGTGACCTTGACCTACTAAATTTTGGAGATAAAATTTTCTCTCTTACTACTGGCTCAGTCTGATTTTTTCCAAACAGTTTTCCTTTTGCCATAGTCACTTTTGAAAGACTAGGGAATGAAAAGCATGGAGTTTTTTCCGTATTAAGACAGGGGATTTTTTTCTTTGAAAGTTACATGTTTTGGAGCACAAACTATGAAGAGCCAAGGTAATGCCCTTTGTATCAGAAAATATGCTTTGCAAATTTGCATTCAAGATGAATTGTGCTACAAGCCTTCTGCTGCTGGTGGAATCATCCCATTTTGAATATGAACAGTAGGGGTTAACTAGGATTCAACAGGTAAAACTGCTGTTCCGCTCATATTTTCCAGGAATGAAGCAACACCTTCTTTGCCACACCAGCTTCATCACATGTTCCAGATCCCAGGTAAGGAACAGGAATCTGTCTGACTCCTACACAAAAGAACAAAAGATAAGATGCGTATGAGATAAGATGCAGCAAGAAGAGGTGTCAGGAGGAGTAGCAAAAAGGTGGCCAAAAGCAGCAAACCTGAGAACCAGTGAAAAAATGCCCTAAGGGATAGCTGAGACAGATTTGATGAGGCATGGGGTATGGAGCTGACTAGGCAAAGATACCATGACACAAAACTGTGAGATTCAGAACAGAGCGAGGGGGATAATGAACAAGTGATTAGGGGCCAGACACAGAGTGAAGAGGTGGAGGGGACAGAAAGGTGAGAGTAAGAATGTCAGAACAATGTTGTAGAGCTCTTCCTAGATATAAAATGCTCAAGTTTGTAAGAGTGGTAAAGACCTTACTTGTGAAGGAAGGAACAAATTATGAATGTGTATCTTTTTTGACTATTTTTGCTTGTGCTTATGTACAATTACAGGAAATTTAAAGTGATCTTACAGACAACAAAAATAATAAGCTAAGGGACAATGTAGTCTAATGTCTGAGCAGATGAGTATTTAAAGAGATAACATACAAAACTGCTGAAACAAAGGAAGAAAATAACAGATTGTGACATGGCTCTAGAAAATAGGGGAAAAAAATAAAACACAAGAGGAGCAGACTGGTACAGTTGTTATGGCCAAAGGGTGTCTTGTATTTCAGTGACATCCCACTATGTCAGCAGCAGGCAGGGAGAAATCTTAATGCTCCGGAGCATTTTAATTCATTTAAAAATCCTGCTACATGAAAGACTCCTTTTTCTGTAAATCAAGAACCATCAATGCAGAACAATGGGTCAGAGATTTGGCAAACTACACAAAGATGACTGATTCATGCAATTACCAAACTGTACAGGCTGAACTAATTTGTGATAGAATAATGACAGGAGAAAAATCCAGGCACTCAAATGAGAATGCTTAGGGATCCCATTAACTCTACGGAGAACTAAAGACATGCACAGCTAGTGAACAAACTCACATCCAAATAGAGAACGTAGGAAAAGCAGTCACAAAGGTATTTAAGAAGGCAGAGCAAGGAAAACATGAAAATTTACTGAAAATTCAACAAAGAAAGGCATACAAACACAAAGCAGAAGAGATGAAGAAAATCCAAAGACTTATGGCTATTGTGAGGGGAAAAAAAGATAATAATGAAATGCCCTTTACGTGGGGTCACATGCAAAAATTCTGACAAGTCATTATGCAAAGGATGGCAGACAAAGAAAAAATGCCCCCATATTGAGAAAGTAATCAGTGACTCAGAGATCTTTGCATGTATGTGACATCACTGAAGTGCAAAACAGCAAAAAAATAAATGGACTGTGAAGTTCAGACTAGCACCAGATGCAAAGACAGGGCAGCAGAACACAATAAGAAATAGAATGCAAATGAACAGTGGGCATCAGTGTGTGTGAAAGGCACAAAGACCTCTTCAGAAGTGCGCATAAAGAGATGGGAAATAGCAAAACCAGATTTTTAAGTCTTTGATAGCATAATCTCTGTACCATTAGGCCAAGTAAATTACGAGTGGGATATCAAGTAAGCAGATAAAGTTAAATTTCAAGTAGTGTAAATGTTAGGAAGATATTTAGCAAAAACAAGAAAGTTATTAGCCCTAGAACATTAAACCTAAATTACAGATGATTCCTGTGAGAGACACAAAAGTAAAAACCATACCCTGTGTGGCCAATGCACTACTCCATCCATACAATGAAGGACTTTTGAGGTAAGAAATGAGACGCTTAGAGACAAAAAATTCAGAAGTGCCCACACTTAAGACAATAAAAAGAGTTAACATCTCTATTTATTTGATTTTAGTATTACACATTATATAGCAAAATTTCAGAATACAGCATATGATATGTATCAGGAAGCCAAACATATACATTAAAGATTAGAAGAAAAATAATAATAATAATAATAATAGATAATAGTTTACATCCAATTGCTCACAATTAAAGAGCTGTTACATGATATAATAAAACAAAACTCTTCATAATAAAATCAGTACATGTCACCAAGTGGGAATATCTATCTGCTTTGCAGTTACCACCACAGAAAATAGTTAGTGCACATTATAAAGCATACATGTTCTACTCTTTCATTGGAAGCTTGGAAAGCATGCAGGAATGAGCAGGAGACAGTGAAATACCATAGAGCAAAGAGATCATGCTACAGCAGAGGAGCCTTAGTGTCTGAGAGTCCCAGTCTCTCAGAGGAAAGGGATAGAGCTAGAATAAGAAGAGGTTTGGGAACACACAGCCTCCAAACCTGGTGGTGGGGATACACAGAGGAAAAAATATGGTGCTGAAAATAGGCAGAGGAACAGATCAAAATCATTCAGTTTTACTTATAACATGAAATATAAATCATGCCTTTACCATTTTTACCCAAATAACAATCATCTGTGGTTACACACCCAGACAGCAGTCTTTGGATCCACACTTGCAGTGGACGGACATGGAAAAGGTGTGGCCCAGGGTATGCCATCAGCCACCTCAAGAACCGACACCCCTGTGAGGGATGCTGTGGCAAACCCACCAGCAGTGGGAGCTGAGATGGGGGCATGACCCACCCCTAAACACAAGGGTAATTCAGGTCCTTGTTAATAGACCCCTTGGGGTAGATTAAAGTGAAACAACACTGAATGGCCCCTAATTACAAATATATTTATGTATGTATATATAGGGGCCACTTTAGAACAATTTGGTTGCAAAGGAAAGGAGGTATGTAGCCATTTTGGCTATTATCTATAGAAAGATACCAATATAAAAGCATGAAAATAACACTTAAGAAAATGTATAAGGAAAAAGAAAGACAGAGAAAGAAAGGATAAGAGTAGAAAGATATCACCACCCATAGATCAAGTGATGAGACTTGATAGTTGCAACTTAGGTGTCCATTGGTCAAAGTGATGGTTGCAGTCTTAATCTGTCAGGAGTGGGGGAAACCTGTGAAACACAACGTTCAGGTTAGGTTTACGTGGGAATACCCAGGTATCTCCCCTGGGAGTGGGAGTTTTACCCTGTCTGTTGCAACACTTTTGATGGTGCAGTCTTCTGGTGGAGGGTCCCAGAAATTAGTATGGGGGTACTTCAGGGGTCTTTGATGGTTTATGATCCCTTCTCATATGTGAGAGCTGCCTCTCATGTCAGTATAGTTCAGCCAGTTATTCAGTATCATAAAGAATTAATACCTTCAGGCCTACCTGTGAATGTCCCTCATGAATGTGTATGTCTCAACATCTTCCTCAAGGAGCAAGGGGAAGTTTTGCAACTGAGCAAGTTGTGCAAGGGAGGATATTGGCACTATCCCATCTCCACAGGGTCTGCTTCTCATCTGCCTTCTCCCTTAAATGGCCCAAAATCCAGCTTGTAACCTTCCATAGTGGGTGCGCACCTTCTCTGTCTTATGCAGATCAGAGGTTTCACTACCTCACACAGAAAACTCTCCTCCTCCTCTTTGGTTGAGGGGTGCAAACCTGGCCTCAGTGAAGCACAGTGCTGCTTTTGCAGACAGCTGAGTCCTTAACGATTAACATTACAGTCTCTCACATTTTCCCTCATCTCTTCTCCAGAAGTAGCCCAGAAAGAAGTCTGAAATGAAATTAAATCGGCATGGGCCTCTTCCCTGCCTCCCACCCACAGCCCAGAACCCCATTGCACCTTCCCAGAACTCACCCCACACACCCCATGGCCCAGGACCCTATGTCAGAACCCTGGGGCCACCAGCCCCTGCCCCAGTATCCCCACAGCAGAACCAGTCTCCAGTTCCCCACAGGCCTGCCCTGGCCAGCCATGGGCCCTGCCAAGCTGGGCCACCGTGGGCCCATGTCCCAAACTGACATTGGCCCATCCCAATCCCTCGAGAGGTGCCCAATGCCTGGGCTGTGGCTGCCCTGGTGCCCCCCCGTTACCCTGTTCCTGTGTGGGGAGACAGGACAGGCCCTGCCTACCTGCCTGCGATCGTCCACCTGTCATTCGTAATGCCCATCCCCAGGGAGCCACCAGTCTTGACACTGGCAATGTACTTGGGCCACTATTCAGGCAAGAGAAAATGCTATAGCTCCTGCACCCAGATACCCACCAAACACAGAGGTTTTCCATACTGGCAAGTAAAACAGAGTGAGGACACAGCCTGGAGCCCTGGCCCAACTGTTGAGTTGCCAGCATTGGCAAAACCATTTATGAGGAGTGAGAATAGAGCAGAAGGACAGTTTTAAGCATATGAAGGTGCACTGTAAGGCCTATTTTATTTACCACTACTGGTGAAAGCTCTTTCTGTACTACTCAGGTGGGAAAAGTTCAAGCTGTGTGTTCCAGGAGAGGGAACTATTCAGGTAGAAATTAAATACGCATTGCTACAGAGCATTTTTAAGGGCTAGTGCCTGTTACTCAATTTGCAATGTTAGCTATTTGATGTATGGTACACAAGACAGGTATGTGCTTACCAGGCAGACAAGCCTCACACTACAAAATAAATAGCAACTAAGTCAGAGCATGAGATCTTCAGCCAACTGGTAGGATGTCTGTCCTTCTATAACAAAGAAATATAAACAGACTAAGGGACTGTTTTACCCTTTTTTCAGGGCAAGGGATGGAAAGAGTCCAGTAACAAATTTTCTAGAGGAAAGAGGAATATGTGTTCACATTTGTTGCACTGAGCACTTGCAGAGCAACCTCATGTGTCTCTCCAAACAGCAGGACTTCACACAAGCCAAATGTGTAATATTTTGCCTCCTATATTCTCATATCATAATATCAACACTAATAAAAACAGAAAATCTCCTAAGAGATCAGAACCACTCCGAAAAAAGGCAAGAGAGAAAGATCATACGGAAACCTACAGTGGAATTCATCTCCCCTAACTGTAGGCAGACAGAAATTACACGTGTCCTCTAAACTACTTGCTTACTCTGACCTGAAAGTTAATAGACAGCTATCTCTGGATGAGTTAACTGTCCTGAAGGCACCTATTTCTTCCTAGTGACTTCAAGGGGAACCATATAGCTAGTTCAAAGTACAGACTGACCTTTTTTCAAAATAGAGAAGCAACAAAATCCAATTTTTCCAATGCCAGTCAGAAGAACAAGACAAAAGAAATTTATTATCTACTTCCAAATGAAAGGTGGAAAAGCAAAAGGCCATAAGATCACAGAATGGTTCTGGTTGGAAGGGACCTCTGGAGGTGATCTGGTCCAGCCACTTGCTCAAGCAGGTTGCCCAGGACCATATACAGGTAGCTTTGTAATATCTCCAAGGATGGAGATTCTACAACCACTCTGGGCAACCAGTGCCACTGCTCACTCACCCTCACAGTAAAAAACTGTTTCTTGATGTTCAGGTGAAATCATCATATGACAGCTTTCCTCTATTCCAAGAGATAATCATAAAAAAAGCATGGGCCAATACTTTTGTGGCAAATTCCCTGTAACAAACAATGTCCTTGTGAAAAAGGGGTAGTATTTGATCAAGCATCAATTTTTTTTCTTCACTGCCTATTGCACCAATGTATTACAGCTGATCTGTTTGAAATGCTAGAGGCAAGTTGTGGGGTTCACAGTAAGTTCATGCCATAGTAATTTTTAAGACTGATTATGAAAGAAATTTTGCACCGAGCAAGAAGAGGTTGAGTAAAACAGAACAAATGGCCTGATTAAAGACAAATAAAACCCAAACCAAACTCTCAGGGTGAGAAAAGAGACCACACTTACTGTACATACTCTGTAAGAGAATTAATTTGATGGCAAGTGAAGGTAGATCACTTTAAAAAGAAACACAGTAAATTTATATTCACAAGTTTTCCTGTATGAGGCAACCCAGTATTAAATTTGTATTTTCATTGACAAACAAGAATGCAACATCACTGAGCAGAGCAGCAGGAAAAGAGGGGTGGGTGGGGATTTAAGGTGTTTTTCTGAAATTCACTTGCATTTAGTCTCTAGCAATATAAAGGAACATCTTTATAAAGCCATGATTAAGAAAAGGATCCAGATCTGCGAACTAATAAAAAAAAAAGCAAAATACCTCTGAAACTGTCCTCTCAGTAGGACTACTGGTAGATAACTTTTCAGAAAATGTACTTCCAAACAAGTTACCAAGTTGCAAAGGCTACTCTTTGCTAAGATAAGGTTGATGGAATACTTTTATTTAATCTTGTATAGGAATAAGATATGTCTTAAAATGGACTCTCAAATGACAGATAGGACCTTTTTCCCCCTTAGCAATTAACTCTGCTTTGAGGACTGCAGAGATACACTCCTGAAATACTTCCCCCTTACAGGTCCATTTTGACCTATAGGAGCACATGCTTACCACACTTACCACGTCAACTTCAATGATTCTCTGATATACATCGGATCATTACAGGGAAAGCTCTTTTCCTCTTTATCAAGTCCTTTCTCAAAAAGTAGCTGATAGCTATTACCTTATAACTTCATAAATTAAAGAAAAAACAAACATCTAAGCACAAAAACTGGATATCAAAGAACTCTAACAAGAAAAAACGGGGACCATAATTTAAGGGGGACAATAAAGCTGATAAAAGGATTGGAAGGAATTTCCTATGAGGACCAGTAAGGACTTTGGGTTTGTCTAGTTTGAAGAGAAGGAGGCTGAGTGAAAAATTCATTTCTCCCAACAATTTCCTGAGGATGGGAAGAGGAAAGCAAGGTGCTGAGTTCTTTTCCCTGGTATCCAGTGATATGACAGATGGAAATGTTTCAAATCTGTGCCAGGGGAAGTTTAGACTGGACATAAGGAAGCATTTTTTTTTTCCGAGGTGGTGGTCAGTCACTGGAACAGGCTTCCTAGAAGGTGGACGATGTTACAAATCTGTTAGTGTTGAAGAGGAATTTGGACAACGTCCTTAATAGGCTTTAACTTTTGATCAGCCCTGAAGTGGTCAGACAGTTGGGCTAGATGATCACCATACATCCCTTACAACTGAAAATATTCTATTCTATTCTAAAATAAGCACTCTTTAGACAATCCAACAATCTGATATGAATAGAACATGGGACAAAAAGCAATAGATGACAAAATAGATTCAACATACCCCAGCATGAAGCAAGTGCAAGCAGTAGCAAGTCACCAAAACAGACTTCACATTTTTTTCAGCATCTTACTAAATAAGCAAAGGCTTTGTACTAAGACAGAGAAGACATTATTCCCAAAACAAAGTAAAAAACTGTCATGGTTTAGGAGTGGTATTTCCCAATTTAGTATTCTTTCCCAATTTAGTGTTCCCACTGAAAACACTTCAAACCATATGCTGCTTGTTCACTGCCTCCTCCCCCTGCAGTGGGCTGGAGAGGAGAACTGGAGGCACAAAAGGTAAATATCATAGAATGAGATAGAAAAATTTACTAGAAACAGCAATGACATAAGAAACAAACAGTAACAACAGCAATATTAATAAGAGAGGCAAAAGTCCACACACAGAACCTGACAATACCCAAACTTCTCCTCTGCTACTGGCACGACTGGAAGGAAACCCCTTTGCCCCCACACCCTTGTCCTCTGTGCGTGATGTGAGGTGATGCAGAATAACCTCTGGATCCTGTCTATGCCTCTCCTGGCTACTGCAGAAATTAACCCTATCCTAGGCAGAACCAGGACAAAAATTCTCAGTAGAGTTGGTGTTAATTTATCTGAAACAGATTTTCAAAGAATGTACCTGAGACTTCAGTAGCATAGAAATTCCGTTGTTCATGTTTCATATCATTAACTCTCATGAAATTAACACAAGGAAAGTTGCAGTTTGAACCTCCTAGTATGGGTCTGTTTGTCAGAAGAGTTAGTGTTTATGAATTTTAAAACACTTTCAGAAAGTACTTCGTGGTTGTCATAACAAAGAGCAGAGTAAAGCCCGGGTACTGCTTTTTCTCAGATGTCATTTTACATCAATTGAATGTGACCAGCAAGGAATGGAGGAAGGCCTGAGAAAGGAGCTAGGAGAGAGAAAGTGTCTGCAACAGGGACAGATTGGGTGGAAAGGATAAAAAGAAGCAGGCATGAAAGTTTGTGCCTGTAGAGTACACTCTCCTAGAACCTGAGGGAGTCCGAGGGTTGTGAATCTCATCTTGCATCATCTGTTACGGACCCATTTGAAAACCCACTAGAAGAGAGACCTTTCCTTTTGCAGCATAGGCTGCAACAGAGAATGACATCCCATTACTGGCACCATTGTAAACTGCAATAACTCAAATGGCAGAGATCAGAATGGCACATCTAAAGGGCTATAGCCATGATTTTGAACAATGACATGTGAATATGGAAAGATACAGTGAAGGCTGGAAGACGCAATTTGATCCATGCCTTTTAGCACACATCTAAGAGGCGTTTGGATAATACTCTCAGGCACATGGTGCAACTCTTGGGAATGGTCCTGTGCAGGGCTAAGGGTTGGACTCGATGATCCTTGTGGGTCCCTTCCAACTCAGTATATTCTGTGATTCTGTGGTTCTGTTCAGGTAACATTGGCTTTTATTGCTAGAGCAAGTGGTCTACCTTTTTTCAGCCTAACAGGCACTAAAAATCCAACGTTAGGGTAACCAAGAGTTAAAACTGGGTAATCTGCCCCCAGGGTCAAGAAGAACACCACGTATTCTGCAGACTAGCACAAGGTTGAGCTTATATCATAATCTTATTGGACAAGAGAGATTTTTAACAGAATTCTAATACAAGGAATCAGTACCTTTCAGTTCAACGCTTCCTGAAATTTTCCAAAATGTAGAAGCAAAACCAAAATAAAATAAAATATGCACGCAGTAGGACAGAAGATATCTGTGGGAAAATCTCATTCTCAGTTCAGTGATCAAAGTGGAAGCAAACTGTAAAGATGCTGAAGATTTAGACTAGTGTAATGAGAAAATCAGCTTTTAATGGAGACAAAAATGTCAATTAAAATGTTTACAGTCACAGCATTTTGCTTTTCATTGCTGCATGATAGCCCAATATTTATTCAAATAGCAGGGATAAGCCAATTCCACAGATTTAGAGAAGCAAAAGTGAGCAAATTCAAATAACGATACCATAGCAACAACCCTATGATCACCTCAGTTAAAAAAAATTGGATCCCTCTGGATCCCTTTGTGAACTCAAAGGTATTGACACAGAAATCCTGAAACTGATAGAACTGGTTTTAATGCATTTCTTTCACTTTTTTCCTGTTGTCATTATCTAATTAAAGACATGATAAATGCCGGAATTCTCAGTAATAGTTACTAACCTACATTAGCGCTGAACTATTATTA